AGTGCGCTTATACCACTCGGTCTCTTGATCTATCTCTCTCCGATCTTCTATCTCGAATCTCTCTTTGATCTGTTCACGGTCCTCCTATCATTGGCTCTTTCTCTCTCTTCACTCCACAGAACACTCAGTCCCTTGTGATCTGTTGCGCGAGGCGCTTACAGCGATTAATATATATAAGGCACCAGTGGCCGCGGTTCCATGAGCAGCGACGCAGCGACGGCTACTTTCTTAGGCGTTCGCCATTCGGCGGCGGCACTCTTTCTCTCTTGAGGGTGCGACACGAGATCTGTTGTGGAATTCCAACGAGAGAGGAGTCGAAGCTGCCGAGTACTCCCGCGGGAATAATTAACTCACAAGATAGGTTCTGCGGGGTCCAGGGGTGACTGCCTCAAAGCAGAACTTCACTTGCCGATGATGAGTCGTTCTTCAAAAAAAAAAAAAATAAATAATAAAAAAATAGCCTTCCTTGGCTGTGACTGTGACAACAAGACACGCATACACGTACACCCGAGCAAACGCTCGCCTACACGCACAGGACGCACCGCTTTGAGTGTATGTGTCCTGCTTCACAAGCTCTCGCGGCTCGCAGCAGTGTTTCTCTATCTCAGTCCCTACACAGCGGCAGTGTATGCGAGCACATCATGTGTATATATACACACACACAAGCTTCGCGAAGGAACGGAACGGCGGAGGCGCGAGCAGCGGCGCTCTCTCTCCTCCTCGGTGGCGCGGGTACCACACAGACTGTTTTTTCGCTCTCGCGAATAGACGGCTAGCGCGCGCTCGACGCGCCAGACGTTGCGATAGAGGAAAAGAGCGCAAGAGAGAAGGTGAGAGCTATAAAAAGGAGGTATGGCAAGAGCGAGATAGAGTAAAAGAGCTGAAAGGAGAAAGAGGGAGCGAGGAGGGTACAACACACACACGATATTCATTATTGCGCGAGTAGTGCAGGCGAGCGACCTCCAGTGGCCGCAGCTCTGAACTCCTGCGCGCCCACTTCTCTCATTATTGCCTGTCTTGTTCCTTCTCGTGTACCCTATCCCTCTTTTTTAATGCAGACGCGTTTGGTGGTGTACGGTGTGTACGCGTGCAGCGAATCAGCCATACAGATTCCGCAGCTCAAAGGTTAGGTGCCCGAGAAAGAGCAGTTAATCATTGCTAACACAATGCGTTTCTTTTGTACTATTACTATTAACAAAAATTTTTACCCAATTGTATTTAAAACTTCAATTTAGAAGTAGTACTTGGTAAGGTATAAGTATATAAGACTTGAAAGAAGTTGAAGCATAAATATCTGTGCTAACCATTACACAACCATCGAATTAATTTTTAATCCATTCATAAGAATAAATCTGACGGAACACTTAACGGAGCACGAACGTCACAACTTATTGCTCGACAACATTGTAAAATGTCTCAAATAGCCTGGAGCCGGTTTTTTCCTCCCTACCAATGTTAAGAGCCGGCGTTCCTTTGTAAAACTGCAGGAACCGCAGGAAAAAAGATAATCAACGCAGCAGGCAGAGGCTTCCTCAAACAGCCAAATATTTCAAACTGTCACTTACACCGACAATATGTTCCGGCGTGTATGGCCCAAGGCCACCCATAGCTCGACGACCGCAGGATGGTTGCATATACATGGATACTTGCTTAACGGATAAAGGCATTGATTACTTCCAACGACACCAAGGGGGGGGGGGGTGCGAAAGAGAGAAAACAGTCGAGTGTCAGTGAGGGAAATCTCTTCGCTCTGCCGTCCCTTTCACTGTGTCTCTTTCGTACATACCTTTTAATCTCCGCTGCATCCTTCTCGCTTTCGATCTTTTGAACTTTGGGGCTCAGCCCCTCGCTCAAAGCCTATCGTGAACAAAAACTGGATACAACTAATTAGAGCTACTAATAGGTGCTTTTTATTACATCTCTTGCGCGCGCGACACACAAATATATTGCAGAGGATGAGTTCCTTTGAAATTCAAGTGATGTCTAAGCAACAGCTGCTTCGTAACGTGCAATTTTCACGTTTAACGAAAAAAAACGGCTTCTTAGTGCGCTCAGCAACGTAAAAAAAGCACTTTTCTGTGCACTCCTCAAATTAAAACAAAATCGCTCTATTACGCAAAAGCGAGGAGCATCAATTCGCGGGCTTCAATCGTGTTTACCTGCGTATACAACTTAACAATGCGCACACTTCAAAGGCCCGGGGGAAAGCAAAAAATTAAAAAAAAACCAAACGAGGACAAGGAATGATGAAAAACGAAAATGCAACTTCTACTTTCGAAATCAAAAATGATGTCTCGCATCTAGGTCTACTATATATAAACACACTTCTGCCTCCACCTTTATCGTTGCGAATTTTCCCCACTCTCGTGTCTGCAGAGCTATAAGAGAGAGAGAGAGAGAGCTCACCTTCGCTTCAACTTCGCGAAGTCACTTTTCCTTTGATCTCCACCGCCCGCAATGACTCTTTGATCTCTGTCTCGGCTGCCGCATATACGCTCCACGTGCAGCATGCGCGCAACCTGCTGGCGTCTGTCTGTATTATATTACGTTTGGCTTCGCGACCATCCGACAATCCTTGGTGGATCATCCTCCGGAGGCGATCCCTCTCTCTCTCTCTCTCTGTGCCCTCGTTTTGAATCAACGGTAAACGAGGCCGGTCTAACAGAAAGAAGAAACGATTCCAAAAGTGAGGTGATACAAGCCCTCTTTTTTTTTCTCTTCTTCCCCCAGTTTGTCTGTTGTCGCACACACGTATATATCGGAGGTGGTACTTTTTACCGAGGAGGAGGCGGCGGAGAGCAGTGTTTCTTTAAGCTCAGTTCGCGCCTCGCGACAATGCCTTTGAGTTCCCAGTCGTCGCCGCCATTACCGTTGTAACTCTGAGGCCTATTCTCTCTCTCTCATGTGTACGTTACACCCCCCATTTTGCCATCTGTCGCGCTCTTTTCCTTTGATCCAGGGGAAAAAAGAGTAAGGAGCGCGAGGGGGTGGGGGGTAGACAGAGATAGGCCGGCCCTGATAGGCACGTTTTCAGTCACCTTTCGAGAGTTGAATGGCACTCGAGGCTGTCGGCGACGCCGACGCTCAGTGCGCTTGAATTCGAATTTCGCGCCTCCCCCTCCGACTACTTTCTCTCTTTTTCTGCTTTTTGCCATACCCTTCGTGGCTTGGATAATCGAGTGTATTCGTTGTTATTGCCTGCAATGACGACTTGGTTTTTCCCTTTGACATGCGGCTCGCTGTGCGATAATTTTTCTTAACACCCCCTCCCCCCACACATACACACACCCCTTCTCGCTCTACTCTTTTTTTTCAAAGCACGTGACTCGCAAGTTTGTGTCTTTTTTTTTCATGATAATAAAACTAAAATCGGTTTTTGTCTCTAATGAGCCGTTCGCTCAATGTTTGTCATTTCAAGCAAGAATAAGCATTGTCCGTCCAAAGCGTTACTTATATACATAATATAATGTGAGTTGATTCCCTCAAGATTGAAAGTATATAATGTTATACCTGAAGGAAATAAATAAAGATACAAATATTACAATGAAAGGAAGGGTCTGAGGAAAAAAATAAAATAAAAGTAAAGATGTCTCATGAAAAATTTTTCGCACCCGCCCATGGGCGTTCGCAAAGGGAAGCAGAAGCAAAAAGCGATAAGCAAGCAACAATCAGCGGGTCTCTGAAAAGTCGCTCTTATATATAAAAGAAGAAGGGCGAAAGAGGTGCTTCCTTTAAACCTCGGTCTCTGTCGGGCACAAAGGGCCCCCCCGAATACTTCTTTAAAAGAGAAAGAGGAGAAATTGCTCCCGACAAAGGGACGGGGACAGTAAAAAAAAGTGAGCCAACAGCGACGGAAAAGAAGAAGAGGAAGAAGCACACCACCTGACACCGTCGTCGGCTTCGTGATGCTACTCTGAAGTTCCGTCTGAGACGTGGTGTTGATAAGTGTGTACTTCATGGACACCCAAGTGTGTGTGTATGAAAAAAAAAAAAAAAAAAAAATCTGAAAAGGAGCTGTGCCCCTTTTTTTTCTTCCTCGCGTGCAACGCCACCTATAGTGTACTATATATGTGTACATGGCCTCAAGGCACCAATCACCAATATTCTGTAATAACGCAGCTGCCGCCTCTGCGCGCAAAGTAAGCCACTTCGCTCAAAGATCGTCATCACGAGCTGGAACCGGTTGTGTCGTGCGAGTCCTCGGGTATTTGCACGTCGATGTAGATTACACGCTATTCTTCCAAGGGGGGAAATGGGGGCGGTCGGGGGGAGGGCTTTTAAACATTACTTCAGAGCCAAAGTGAATTTTGCTCCGAGGGTATAGTTCTGTACAGTAATTTTCTGTAAGTGTACAAATTAAAAAAAAAAAAAATTAAACAACAAAAGACGATTTTCAACACGAATAACGCATCGAGGGGGTGTCCGTGCGGGTATAATTTCATCACACGCCGACGAAAAACTTTGATCGTGGGTAACTGAATATTATACCCCCTGAATATCGGCGATGAAATCCCCCTTTTCCCTTGGCCCCCCAGGGGGGTTTCGATAAAAGCCACACGTGTCCCTTGGGTATATTTTTCCTCTTCCAACGCATTGGATCCGGCAAAACAGGGAAAACCAGCATCAAAGAATCCAACACCGCCTTACACCCCCTCCCCCTGCCTGTGGGTGACTCGACAGATGCTAGAGTATGCGTGTATCGAAAGAATCGCCGGGGTGAAATCGAAGAATCACACGATGCATTAAAACGCGTGAAGCGAGAGGGGGAAAAGCGCTCTCTGCGGAGGAGAGAGACCGCCCAGATCGCGCGCGCCGAGTCCCGCGGGTGTTATTTCTTTCCTTTGCGTTTTGTGTTTTGTGTTTTTTTTTTTTTTTTTTTTTTTTTTTTTTTAATGT